CGTATTGGATGGGAAGCATCCACAGAAAAGCACTGGGGAGTGAGCAGGAGCCTAAAAACATGAGCAGTACTGGGGCTGCAGGAGGACATGCTGTGTAGGGACACACAGACTACCTTGGAGTATGTAATAATGGGCAAAAAAAAAAAAAGGAGGAAAGATGCAAAATGTGAAATCAAACCCAACGAATGTCTCTGCTTCCCTCCTGGCCTCTTCAGGGCTCACAGGGCTTCAGCTCTTTGGAGATACCACGCATCTCCTCCAGCCCCATCCCAATTAACTGCCTCCTAATGACTTTCCGAAGCAGGAAGATTTCCTTAATTATACCAGCACGTGTTAGACTGTAATCAAGAAATCAATCCTCACTGCTGCCTGGAGCAGCACAGCGGCTGCAGCCACCTCCAAATAGACCCTGGGTTTGCAGGGATGCAGCAGCACACGGACAGGGGATCACAGAAAGGGTTTTCCTCTCCAAGTAGGAGAAGGAGGGATGCAACACTGCAGAAGGAACTCAAGAAGAGCACTGTGCTAATGTGCAGTGGAAGGGAAGGAGCTGATTGCTCAGGGCTGGGAAGCATGAGGACTGGCAGCGCTTATGAGCTGCTAAAAATAAAAAGCAGCTGCTAAAAATAATGAGTGATCAGAACAAAAAAAAAAATGCTAAGCCCCAGAGATCTCCCTGAACTCTGAGGATTAATTTTAATTTCCCTCTAATCCGGACAGAAATAGTGACGTGGCTGCATGGGCACGGCTCAGCCCGCACGTCCCCAGCATTGTGCTTTGGGCACAGCCTGAGCAGCACTGCTCCAATGCCCTGGAAAAGAAAATGAGGGATCAGAGAGAGCTGCTCAGGCTGTAGGCTTCCAAAGAGTCCAAGAATGGATATATCCTAAGCATAGGCTTCACAGTACGGAGCACAGCTGAATGTGAGTGGGGTTGAATTTACCCTCGGTGCTTCCCAAAGTGCTGCACAGCAACTGCAGAATGCTGCTTTCCAGCAAAGAGGGAAGGCTGATTTTCTGCAGGGTGTAAATACGAGGGGAACGGCAGTGCGGTGCCCTTTGTGTGGCTACAGGAGGTGGTCGGGCACCACTGAACAGAGGCAGCACTGCCACCTCACCAACTGCATTCGGATATATGCAAATATATGCATGTAGGATTTGCATGCAGAGCTCGCCCGGGGCTTTGATGGCACATGGGCTGTTTGCACAGCCTGAACTCAGCAGTGCTTTGTGCTGAGAGCCTCCAGAGCCGGGGCTGTAAGAAGCCCTGTTTTGCCCCGAGGCTCCCTGCAGCGATGTTTGGGGGAGAAAAGCTGAAAAACCCATTCTAAGCCATTCCATCCAAGCCTGCTCTGAACGTGTTTTCAATTTGAGAGAGCCCAGAGAGGCAAGTAAATATTTTTCTGGAAGGGAAACGAGGTCGTGTTTACCCCGGACGCCGTGTGCCAAAGCGCTGCCTGCTGTTTATGCAGCTGGAGAAGCAGTGCTGGCAGTGCAGAGCCATGCAGGAAAGAATGCAGCACTGATACCTGTAGGAAGTGCTGTGGTTTTCCAGCTGCGATGCACAAACTGTGCTGCCTGGGGAAGCCGCAGGGCTCGGCCAAAGGGCTGCTGGTACACCGTGCTTCTGTGGATGCTTCGCGAGGGTGAGATGGAGAAAAAGATGTAAAAAGCTGAGAGCAGGCAGGCCTGCAGATAACACTGCTTAGCAGTGCTGCCCATGCAGGGCACAAGCCCCACAGAACTCATTTACAGGACCCTGAAAGCAGTGGCCAAAACCTTAATATTTTTGGATGCACACAGAACAGACGTGCTCACTGTGCTCAGTGCCAGTGCTGGGACCCCATTGGGAACCACAGGGCTGTGCTGGCTGTGTGCTGCCCATTCATTGACCCCACAGCCCCAGCTCCCCCAGCACAGCCACAGACACAGCGGGATCTGCTCCCACCATCCAGCCCTTAATCAGCTTTCACCTGGGATTAGCTCCAACGTTTCCAGACTTGAATTCAAAATAGCTTTTCTTGCTAATCCAAACCAAACGCTCCCCTCCATCAGCCTCGCCAGCAATGTTTGTTTCCCCAGGTTTGAACATTACCCTGTCCCTGGATTTTTCTTATTGTGATGTGGGGGCATGGGGTGTTTGGGGAGGGCAGCAGCAGGGCAGGGATGGGCACAGGGGGAACAGCAGCTCAGCATAGGCTGTGCACAGCAGGGCTGGGGATGCTGCAGCTGCAAGGAGGTCGTGCTGTGCCTGTGTGTGCTGGTAGCTCCTGGCTTTAGGACACCAAGCAGCATGGGATGGGATGGGATGGGATGGGATGGGATGGGATGGGATGGGGTGGGATGGGGTGGGATAGGATAGGATAGGATGGGATGGGGTGGGGTGGGATGGGGTGGGATGGGATGGGGTGGGATGGGGTGGGATGGGATAGGTTGGGATGGGATGGGATGGGATAGGATGGGATGGGGTGGGATAGGATGGGATGGGGTGGGATAGGTTGGGATGGGGTGGGATAGGTTGGGATGGGATGGGGTGGGATAGGATGGGATGGGATGGGACATGCGAGTGGTCACATATGGGAATGCTGGGTGTGATGTGGCTGTGACTAAAGAGGTGGCACTGAATGAATGATGCTATCACTGCCCTGCTAATGGCCCCGGTGCCTGCAGCAACAGCAGCACTGTGGGTGTGGGTGCTCATCCCCACTGGGCATTGGTGCATGAGGTTGGTTTCACCTTCACACCCTGCCTGGTGGAGAAAGACCTGCAGTGATTTATGATGAGCTGGCGAGGTGTGTGTGACAGCCACAGGGAATGCACGCATGGAGCATCCCATGTTCAACTCTGCATGATGTGGGCATAGCCAGGACCCCCACATTGCAGCCCTTGGGGCACCCAGATCTCAGCCCCTGTCCTGGAACCTCTGCAAAAATAACACCATTCTGGGACAACCTTCATCCGAGTGGAAAAAAAAACACCACCAGAGCCTGACGAGGAAGCAGAGCTATATAAAAGCACGCTCCTATACTTCTCTGTTATTTCTGTAAAGCGTCCAAAATGTTGCACAGAAATTCTTTATGTTTCCATGAGGTGAGGCTGAGCCCCTGGGGAAGAACTTTTATTTTTTTTTTCCCAACCTTTCACTGCACCTACACCAACATTTCCATGCATGGAGAAAAAAGTGAGGAGCAGCTCCTGCCCAGGGCTGAGCCATGAGCAGCGGGGCTGGGAGGTCTCCCCGTGGGGTTTTGTGCAGAAATCATGGTGATTTTATGTGAAGTTTCAGAGGGAGCAAAGCTTAAAGCTATTTCTGATGTGCAGTGAGTGCAGCCAAGTCTCCTGGTGCCACCAGCAGAGCGCTGCCCCAAACCTGTGCCACGAGGCAAAAAGGAATCCTCCTGTGCTGGCTGAAAGGTGGCATTTTTCCAATGTAGGGCTTGGGAGAAAGGACACACAGCCTGGATGTCATGAAGGGACACAGAGTATCAAGGACAGAGAGAGAAGGGATGGCAGGGAAGCACAGCATCACCCGCGTCCCCGCAGGAATGGGGACAGGGACATTCTGGTCACCCTGCAGTCCGGCTTCAGCTGCCCTGGGTGTCCGATTGCTCTTGCCCCGGGATGAAAGGCCATAGCACTGCAGTATTTATAGCTCTGTGATTGTCTTCTCCAGAAATCATTGTGGCTGTGACGGGGGCTGCCCGCGCTGAGCCGCGTTTCCCGTTATAGCCGTCCTCCGGCTGCACGGAAAGGTCACAGCAACCCCAGGATTTCAGCCTTGGTCTGCCCTGCCATGTGTGCACCCACTGGGCAATGGGATGTGGTGAGCTCTCTGTTAATGAAGGAAATGCTTGTCTTGACCAGGGTGCAAAAAACACGCCTATGGCCACTTCCACAGTCTGCTATGAAGAGCCCAGAGGTATGGCCTCGTATTTCGGAAACGCTGCCATCCTTGTGACCACATCTGTTTGTAGGTGCTGCTGTGTTTGGGGGCATTGACCCAACCAGATCCCCCAGCTTACCTGGCCAGTTCCAGAATCCCAGTGAGCTGCCAGCCACAGGGTCAGGGCACGGGGACAGTGCCTGCAGCAGCTCATTGGAAACACCTGAAATAAAGTGCTGCTCCCAACCTGACTGGTGCTTCGCTGGGGTTTCAGATGGGTAGGCAGCGTGGATCAGGTCCCAGGGATCAGATGGACACTGAGAGCACTGGCAGCTGCAAGAAACAGCTCAGAAAGGTGTTACAGCACGTGCAGGATGGAGCAGCTGCCCTGCCATCCATAGGGGATGCTCCACAGCACACCCTCAGCCTGCATTCCCATTGCTGAAGCATGAGCTGCTCCCCAGATGGTGGGACACTGCTCTGTGAGCACAGCCTTCATGCAGTGCTGAAGGGGTTTTGGAGCCCAGCACTGATGGCACAGCAAGGAGTGCACAGCTGGACTATTTCTGAGTTAAATGCACCATGTGCTCCACAGCCAGCTTCTGCTGCCCTCAGCCTTTAAGAATTGCAGTGTAGGAGGAGATGGACACAGCAAGACAGAACAACAGCTTTAGTACTTGAAAATTTTATTTTCTCAAATGAGCACCAACACATATTGTAAATATGACAAACAATACGGCTCCCTCTAATACTGAAGAACTATATACAATGTACAAATACATGAAAAGGTGGAAACCAATTACTTGAAAACAAACAATCGCATTTATTACTGAAGCAAATGACCTGAAAGAATACGACAAAAAATAAAATTAAAATAAGATCAAAGAAATAAAAGTATACACAATTTGTAAACACGAGAGCATCAATAGACAGGCTGGTATTGGAAACACTGTCCTTTAGTTTTGTCAGCGGGGAAAGCATTCCCATTTCCTTACAAGAACAAAACAAAGGATAAATACAGTTCATAGCTATGAGAACAGCTTCTTTGTGATTGTACCACACACAGTGCCATTCTGCTTGCATTAAATACGTCGATTTCTTTTTTGAATTCGCTATGATTTCTTTTTTTTTTTTTTTTCCCCCCTCTTTTAAACAGGATTCTTCAGCCTCTATGTGTAACATCATTGTTTCTGAGTGCTCAGCCCCCAAGGCCTGGCCCTGCTGGGAGCTCCTTCCCACTGAACAGAGCAGAGCAGAGCAGAGCACACCTCCCAGCCAGCACAGTGCTGTCCATACGCTCACACACCAGGCAGGAAAATGCACACAGACAAAATCCTCACCACGAGAACAACAAGTTTCACCTGTAGGTTTTGTGGTTTTTTGTTTTTTGTTTTTTTTTTTCCCCTGTCTGTCTTTAAATGATGTGTGCCAGCATCAGAGCTGTGCAGCAGCAGTTCAGTGCTGGAAGCAGCTCCTTGCTCAGCAATGCAGCCCAGCTGTGCACGCTGTTGGTCCGCTTTGGGATCAAACAGAGACCCAACGAGATAAAAACAGAGAGTGGGGAGCAGGGGGGGGCACAGGGACAGAAGGGAAAACAAAGAAACGAACTCTGCTGCCTGAGAGGTAAACTTGCACTCTAGTTCATTGTGTAGCAGCCTGGTTTAAAAACAAATTAAAACAAAACGAAACAAAAGAAAACTGGGATCTGTGTCCAAAGACTTCCTTCAGTTTAAAAACAGCTCCTTACAAACCTCCAAGTGGTGATGCTGAGCTCACAGCTGATCTGTGCTCCTGCATCCGAGCCATATGCATCCCTGCCCAGCACTGCATGGGCAGCCCCCACATCCACCACCAGCCCCCAAATCTCCCTAAACCCCCACATCCCCAGCATCCAGGGCTGCCCAGCAGAACAACATCCATGTGTGTGTTTGTGTCCCTCTCAAAGTATTTCCCAACTGATGCAGAAGGAATGGGGATCATTTATAAACAACGAGAAAAGTGCTCGCAGGGAGGGGCTCTGAGAAAACGGCACCAAATATATTATTATTATTATTTTTAAATTAAATATTATTTACAAAAGTACACTTCACAAGATAACATGATTTCTTTTTTTTTTTTTTCTTCCTGCTTTGTATATATTACCATTTATTACAGGTATTTATTACAGGGAGGGGGATCTCACAGCAGATAATCCACCCGAGCACAACGAATTTGGAACTCGGTGAAAGCTGAGCTTTGGGGCAGCGTGGGATGATGGAAGCACAGCTCACAGGGCTGAGGCTGCCCCACGTTACAGCCCATGCTTCTCCAGGGGGCAGTTCTGTGGGCTATCCATAACCCCAGCACAGGGTGCAGACTTTGGTTACGCTGAGCACGCTGCTTTCCAAGCCATGGGGCAGCCTGTGGGTGACTCTGTGCACGGTGTGGGCTCCCATGGGCACACACTCATGTTTTCCTATTGGGATATGAGGCCACATTCTGGGCAATGTAAATCTGTGGATGCTGACGAGACAAAGCCAATTAAAACCAGATTAAGATCTTGCCATATTCAGGCTTGGACTGGTTGCCATTAAAAGCGTAACCCCAGGGAACGGTTAAAAACAGCCTGATTGACGGAACATCATCCTTTCTTGTCCCAAATATAAGGATAAAAGCATTTGTATCTGGTATCTTATTTAGAGGTGATACCAACTTAAAACCGTGAGCCCACGCACGGGATTTTTCTCAACCTCATATTAACAACTTGGGGTTATCCCTTACTTCTCCTCCCAGGTACAAACTGCACTTCAAGGGCTGTGCATGCGGGAGACCAGGAGCTCTTTGAAGAATGCAAATTACTTCCCACTAGGCAAAACCCAATCGACTGTCACAGATCAACAACCAAAGGACAGGACAATGGGACCAGGCCAGTGCCAACAAGCTGGTGGCTACTGCAGAGCTTGTGATTTTATCTGGGTTTTTACCGCTTAAGGCAATGTGGATGATGGAAGCAGAGATGATCAGAAATGAAAGCTGAAGCAACCGCTACACAACCACAACAGAAAGGGTAAAGGCAGAAGCTATCTCTGAACAGGCTAGCCACAAAATGAGCCAATTCCACCCATTCCAGCAGCCTTCAGCTCACCTTCCCCTGCCAGGTGTAACAACGCGCTGTCACAAAATAGTGGTTCAAGAGAAAAGCAGCTTTTGCTCTGACAGGCCAGCAGGCTGGGGCTTCGGTCCAACACGTAAAGCCTACCCCAACCCATAAGCAGCATCTCTGCTCACATCTCCTTCATGAACAGCACATGATTTTGTTGCCAGCCCCTCCACTCTGGTCCCCAGCTCACGGGATCTCGGGGTGGGGACAAGCAACAAGAGATTACAGCTCCAAAGCTTCGGTTTCATAAGGAGCTACAAACCCCTGCACAATACTCTTTCTTTCTGGATTAAGAAAGATTTCCCCCAGTGGATTAACCTACTTGAAAGAATTCCACAAACAAAAAGAAAATTCACTCAGAGAGATAACACTAATTCGGTTCAACAGTCTTTGAGCCGTGCACCAGACAGTGGCTGGACTGCTGCAGAGCAAACTTCACATTGTCTTTTACATCTAACGCAGCTCCCTGCTCGCACACGGTGCTCCTTCCCCACCCATCACCTCGGGAAGGTCCACACTCATCAGTCTGAAAAACCTCACAGCAAAGGACTTATCCTTTGCAGTTACAATAACCACATCCACCTCTCCCACTTAAACTCCAGAGCACAATTTCGGGATAGAGGAAAGATAGTTTAGTTTCCTTTTTCCTTCTCGTCTCCCCTGTGCCTCCAGTAGGCTTTAGGGAGTGGGAAAAGGGGGGAAGGTTTGGGGGATAGCTCATGGCTTGAAATATCCACCTGTGCAATACTGCTAAACTGTCAGGTTCCTCCGCTCCCTCCTTTCCCCCCTCTCACAACATTTCTCTGAAAGGTTCCAAAAGCAGAGCTGATGGCTGGGGCGTGGGACTGAAAGATATTCTAACAGCACTTTCCTACTTTTACTCGTGAAGGCTTGATAAAAAAAACCCCAAGGACACCCAGTGGAGTACAGGAAGTCAAAGGGTACCCTACGTTACTGAGTTTGTCCCCATCCTCTCTGACATAATTTCCTCTTTCTTACTTAGCACCTGCCTTCGTTTTTTTTTTTCCTGTTGTATCTTCTAAGCTTCAGCTCCAGCCTCCTTGTGCCTTAAGTGGTTTTTTCCTTCTCTCTGAAGGGCTCAAGTGTCAGGATTTGGTTTCTCCAGCTGTGAGGATGCTCCCACAGCTGTGCTCTGTTGGGACGTTTGGCCTACCTACCCTGAAACAGAGAGAAAAAGGAGAGGCAGGGAATCTCTCCAGCCTTCAGATCTCCCCTCCCTCCCCCCTAGACAACAAGTTCATAAACAGCAAACAAAACACAGATCTGCGACTCGCAGGGAGAACTGGTTATGTCTTGTGCTCAGCCAGCTTAGACTGAAGCTCCACCAGTGGAGCAGCAGTTTTATGCTTCGGAGAGAATGCAGCCGTGAGGTATTTTTCTGTCCATTTAGACAAGCAGACAGTTTCAAGCCTTGGTTAACCAGGACTTAAAGGAGAAGTGCAGTTTTACTCCCAATGACCTCCCTCTGGGCCCACTCCCCACCCCCTATCGCGTTCTCCTACCCAAAACTCAGGTCTTCCTCCTGCACCGAGACCTGCTGATAAAAATGCCACCACAGAGCCAACTTCAGTTCGTACGTAAGCATTCGTCAACATGGAATGGCTGTCGGGCATTCGGTGCATTCTCTTAGCCAACGCCAGAACAGAGAGAGAAGCAGCCAGGGTCAACTCACAAACAGATACAAAGCAAAGAGACAGAGAGACAGAAATTTAGAGGCCAGTCACCAATAAAGATGGAGAAGGGTGTGAAGATGCTCCCAGATTGCAGAGCCTCTAAATGCATGGAACCAAGCGTTCAGTCACTCTCTCACTCTTGGATATAATGTTCGGTTGGATGGCATTCTCTTACACACTGGTAGGGCTGGGCTCCCTCCGTTCAATCCCAGCCATTATCCTTGATCATGTGAGCTAGTTCAATGATGTATTTGCCTTCTTTATACTTCTGGCTGCTTTCAAAAGCGTGTTCCTAAAAGAAGAAGAAAGAATGAGATCAGTATACCTGAAGTTATGGTCACACTGACAGAACCTGGAATGCTGGTCTGGGTCCCAGCATGGCAAGGAGATCTGTCTGCTGGGTAGGACAGTCAAACTGCAGGAGCTCCTGAAGGTGTTCTGCAAAAATTACATTTGGAACGTTCTTAAACCTGACTTTAGTCATTTTCACAGGCTGAAAAGGCACAACCAGCACCTTGTAAGCATGCAGCTTTAAGCAGGCTAATGGCAACTGCTCCTTGAACTATGCCTTAGGAATAATCACTGATAAAATCTGACCCTCTCAGGAGCACTCTGAGGGTTTATTAACATTAGGAATCCAGAGCTACTCTGGGGAAACTTGCTGCAAAGACACTGCACTGGGAGTGAGCTGGGCTATGGTCAGCCTCACTTGGAAATGGAGCTGAGTGGCACCTTGGGAAGCAGCCATTCTACACAGAGGTAGGATGAACAAAGCATGGGATCTCTAAGCAGGAGAGGCTCCACTTATGCATTCTGGTTGCATCCTCAAAGGCAGTTCAGCTCCAGCTCAGGCTCACTATTTGCATGCACACCTGTGTCGTGCATCTGAGAGGATGCAATTCTGTTGCTGGAGAGACCTGAGCTTACTGCTGTGTTTACAGAATTCTGTATTTTGTTTCACAATAAACTCAATTTATGCACTTAGCGTCCTTCTCCATTCGTGAGATCCACGCTGTGTTTCTGCACGGATCTGACTGACTTTAAAGAATACTTCTGTCTAGAGGCCACAGATGCAATAGATGTTTTGTTTAGAGAGTGGTCAAAATGTTCTGACAAACAAGAATACCGCGTGCCTCCTGAAGCAGAAATTAGAACATAGCATAAGCCTTTATTTGAAGGTAATTGAATTTATGGAGCGCGAGAGACAGCAAACAGATCAACTCATGTTCAATAGCATTTCTAGTGGGAAGGACACAGGATTAGCAATATGTGGATCCCTCTGTGATTCTGAGACGGTCTGGAAAAACAGACAACGCAAACCACAAAGGCTGACTGAATTTTATATCAATTGCCACTGAGGGACCCCCAACCAAAACCAAACCCACACCAGAAATTCTTAGAAAGATGAAACACATCTTTCCTTCGGCCACAAAGAGCTCACGGTCTGAATGGAGAGAATAAACAAAAGACAGGAGGGAAAATGGAAATGCAGAAAGGAAAAACAATGTGGCTACAGACCAAAATCCACATTTCTGGTTCCTGAGTCGATGTTCTTTCCACCAGACCACGTCCTACCACACAAACCTTCAGCAAGAGCTGCAGCAAAGACATCCACAGGAAAAACAAATGATGCTGATACTCACATATTTCCAGCCCAGTGTGGTTTTGCAGTTTTCACAGTAAATGTCTGCAACCGCATGTAATCCTGTTAATAACACCCGCTCCTCTGCAGGGCCACAACCCACATTAACTCTGGAGAAAATGGAGAGAAGCTCCCTGTTAGTGCATCTTCCTACAGCAAGACACTGTTGTGAAGCTGAGCGTACTGCAGTGTTTGAAAGGACAAGCAGGAAATTCAGAATACTGAGTACCACGGCTGTTCCTGAAAGAAGTCTCATGCAGTTCCAGAACAGAATGAAAAGGTAAAAGAGAATCTTTATTTGACTGAATGTTCTAACAAGTTTTGAGCAGAAGATTAATAACATTCTAGTACACTGCACTAATGATGCACTTGAGAAAGATTTTTGTTTCCAAGCTGCCAGAATGGTACTTCTACTTTCCCAAATGGGAATTTGGGAAATGTCACTAAAATAAGCAGTTCTGACAGACACCCCAGCAATGTCTGATCAAAACGACTTTCAGTTATTGGGTAACACAGTTAACTTCTATGCCAGCTCTAAAAACAAGTCTGCACTTAGGTATTTCATATTCTCTGCATTTACAGAGCCTTGACTCTCTGTCCAACTTCCCTCTCTGGAAAGAGATGAGTCACCTCTCAGCTCTGATTTCTCAAACTGATGATGAAAAAGAACACCTTTTCCTAGCTGCTTATCTGAAACTTGAACATAAAATCAAATATGAATCAGTGCTATTTCCTGCCTTTCTCCAACTGTTTTCAGCAGGCTCACAAGTCTTGGGCAGAGGTTTTCTACAAGAAAACTCTTCTGTACTACTTAGGAGAGTTTTCTTAAATGCATCATAAAAATGTGTAAAGGTGACATGCATGGAGTTCTACTCACACTGAATTGAAGAGGTACGCTCGTCCTTGGCTTCCTTGAAAGGACTGAAAGGCAAGAAAACAAAATTCAGCATGGGTTGGTTGGCAGAAATAAGGCTAAACCAGGAACTACTCCCAAAACCTTAATTAATAACCACAGATGGTCAGTACTGCCCATTACCACGGCCTGAGTGGTGCCTCCAGGTGGAAGAGGCACAGCATCAGGCAACAAGCAGGGATGAAGAGAGGCCCTGTCCTGGAAGGCTGCAGCTGCCTCAGGCTCCTCTGCCCACACAACATCTTGCTGGCAGCCTCACCTGCTTTATCACCTGCTATCTCCAGCATCTACGTGCTGTGAGAGCCTATTTCCAAGAGTTCAGCTGTTCTCTCTTTCATGGGCTCGTGCCGAACTGAACCAAGCCTAGAAGCTCTGTGCAAGACACTGAGCACACGTCTGCTCTCATGCTATCTGGGCACATTCCCTCTGCCCCACATCTCCCAAGGCCTTGCTGCAAAATCAGGAAGTCCTGCAGAGCTGGCACTTGGTTGGGAGCCTGCAGGCTGCTCTGCTGTCCCATCACACTGCCCAGAGCCTCGCAGGCAGCAGCAGCTCACACACAGCAAGTGCTACCTGCGATGTTAACGCGCTCTGACAAGCACATGCTGAATTAAACACTTGGTGCTTATGAGCAAGAGCACAGGTGCTGTCTGAACACAAGTTACCTTAGGAGATACCTCAGGGAACGCACGCATGGAGGGCTGAGGAGCTGGGAGAGCTGAAGAGAAGCTTTTCAGGATCATTTAACCCTTTGACCAGGAACCTTGGGCTATGTAATGGGTTTCCTAAACTCTCAGCTTTTACAGATGGAGCTCTTTTCCAACCTGAGTGACTCTCTGCATGACCACAGATGGCCTCATGGAGAAGCAAAGCGAGAGCTGCCTTAGGAGCTGTTAGCCCCATCCACACCACCAGCACTCACAGCTCCTGCCCTGACCAGCATGAGAAATCAACAATCACTGAAGGAGCAATTTAAAACCACTCTGACAAGGAACAAGCCACTGCCAGGAAAGAAGAGTCCTTGAGGAGAAGCTGCTCTTCAGCTGAGTCTGGAGCCCCATGTTATTGCCTCCTAGGGCACAGAAGAAGCATTCGGATGCAGAAGGGATGGATGCCTGAGGCACATGGATATCTCTTTCACTCAGACAAAAGCAGTGCCTTGAGGAATGCCTCTTTTCTTGGGAAGGAATTAAATAGGACACATGGCTCAAGTATGTTCATGTAATTGCATTTGTTAGAGGAGTTTCTTTTAATCTTTCTGCAGCCCTCAAGCCCCTTATTGTTGTTGTCAGCTGGCTGATACCCACACACCAAGCAGGGCTGGCCTGGCAGCTCCGAGGTGTAGGCAGCATTGGCTCAGCACCTGGGTGGGAAATGGGAACAGCACAAAGCCCACTGCCCCCTAGGGCAGGAGACAGAGGCCAGACACACACAGAACCCCACCTTGCTGCACTGAACAGCAGGGCCCTGGCAGCCCTCAGGCTGTGGATGGGTATGGGATGAAACAAAAGGTCCCCCAGGAACATGTGTGTCATCAAAGCAGAATGAAAGCAGATGAAGCCTGCTAGCCATCCAGCCCTTCCAGTAAATACTTTTCCATAAACACCAAAGAGAGTAAGTTTGCCAATAAAAACAACCATGGGAGCAAAGTTTTTATTGGTACAGAAATAGGATTTTCCATTACTGCTGTGCAAATGCCTGTCTTTAATAAACAACAAAACTATACCCACTGGCTCTGTGCCTGGGGCTCCCTGGGCACTCCCACAGGACAGTGGCATCCCCAGAGACACTTTTCCTTACAGCTCAGCCAGAGCTTTAGGGCACCTGAGGTGGTCACCACAAAGAAGTCCCATAAATAACCTTCTGCCCAAGCAGGACCTCTCTGTGTGCCACCACGCAGCTCTCAGTGCTGCTGCCTGTCCTGATATCCACCCTCCAGCTAGCCAAGGCCGTGGCAAATCACATAAAAAGAAGTGAGGAAGGTCTGGCAGGCACCTCAAAGTCACTAATGCATTTGCTGTCCGCAAGAGCAAGCTGTCAGTATCTTTATAAAGATACACAGGCAGGTTTTACCTGGGTGTTGCAACCTCAGCATTTTCTGGAGAAGTCCCTCCTCTGCTGGGGCTCCAGAAACAATGGCACATGCTGTAATGGGCATTACAAAACCAGGAGAAACAAATCTATTTTTATACAATCAGATGTCCTTTTCTTTGTAGTGAGTTGTCTGCTTTAAATACACACAGAAAAAGATTTCTGCAACACACTTGGTGTTTGCTGGACAGTGAGGTCAGCAGTAAGACCTACATTCTGTGCTGTATGTTCTCTCTGTGTAGATTTTCCAGGCATACATTCAAAAGTATATCTCACACATGCATATAAATCCAGACTTCAGATTCTTTAAAGGAACAGATCCTGGCATCACTTTCCAACTGAAAGAAACGGAAAGGATTTTTGGTTGTTGTTTCCTGCTGAAAACCCAAGCACATATTTTTCTCTGCATCACTAACACTGAATGTCTGGCTGGAAACACATCTGTATATGCCAGCAACAAAGTGCTCCCTCTCTGTCCTCCGTGAGCCCTCTAAAAAACAAAACAAGCTTTTGTGATGTGCAGCACACAACAGCTTACTGCTCCTGACTGCTCAAACCCTTTGCTGTTCCAATCAGCACAGAGGCACCCAAGAGCTGCAAGGCTGAGCACCCAGGTGGGAACACCTCCCAGCTGCTGAGCTGCCTCTTTTTCCAGCAGGAGCTCTATGTGAAGATGCCTTTGGCAGCTGTTGTGGTTGAAGAAGTTCCTGTCATTCAATCTATAGACCCTCATTACAGCCCCTCAGTCACGCTGATTCCAAACCAGATCTCTGAAATCCTTATTTTTAAAAACAAATACTACTTTTGTGCATGCAGGGATTTAAATATCCTTTTCTTGCTGTACTGTAACACAGATCCAGCTTAAAGGACAATCACACAAACTGCTAAATAATCACAGTACGGAGGCAGAGAAAAATCATTCTGTGTTGGGATTTCTTAATCTAAATTTGCTGGCAGAGACTCACAGTGCAGAATGAGAGCTCAAGTGAGAAGCAGACTGCAAGGCAGGAGCTGGGGCTTCACAGCAGATCGGATCTACTGCATAATGTGGATCCAGCATCTAAAGTGGGAGCTCTTTGTGGCAGGCACATGCTGCTTGCCACAGCACAGACAGACTCAGCTTGCAGGATCCAGAGCTGAATCCATATATATTCGATACCCACGACCTTGGGAGCTGTCATTTCAGTTCAGTCCATTTGCTATATTCTGACCTCAAGTGGAAGTGCTGACTGCACCGTTCTGTTTGCACTGTCTGTGGTTCCTGGGCAAGATGCTCAAGTCTTTCCAAGCCTTCCTCAGTGCAGCTACAGCCCTGGGAAACCCAGGCAAATGTGAGAAGGGCTGTGCTCCTCCACCACCAGCTCAGCACTTGCACCTTCCTGTCACTGGTGACCACTGGAAACAGAAGGGGGTTTGCAGGTTCGATCAGAACAGCCAGGGATCAGCATAGATACTGAATGTGCCTGCACCTACACACCCTGTCTCTCAGTACCTACAGCTTCCCATTCACCATGCATGCAGCCCACTCAGCGAACAGATGATAGGATTAACATCCCAAGTCTCTGTGACAGCTTTGACAATAGGCTGAACACAAAAAGAGCTGTCTGGAATCATCTGGAAAACCAACTGCCAGGACTAAATGGCTCCATACTGCTGCCTGCTTTCTGCAGGTTGCAGAGAGTGCTGCCCCTTACCTATGTCCAGCTGGCAGCCCTTTAGCAAACCAATAAAACAAAAATGAAAAGGCTATGGGTCCCAGGGAGGGAAGAAGGAACAGAACGTGACCCTGCAAGCTACCCCAGGAGAGCTGCAAACAGTTCTCACTGCAAGCACACAGACAGGACTGGAGCCCACAGGCTGCCTGCACCTCCAGGCACGTTCAGGCTCTGAACACCTTAGGATGAGATTTCTGCTAACATAAAAAGGGGTAAAAAGCCTGAAAGGGGAGAACACCTTTAAGTACAGCCCAAGTGCAACATCCAACCGACTGGAGTGAGCTTGCTGCAAAGCTGTGCTCCAGGACACAGGCTCCCCATACCCAAAAAGAACATGTGGAAACCCAAGGGAGCCCCATTACAGCAAGAAAGCTGCAGTTCTTACACTCAATAATTCCAGTTCACTGTCTCTGGCACTAAACCCCAAATCTTCTCAGCTGCTGTCCCACCCAACAACCAACATCACACTGAAAGCTCTGCTTGAATGACACCTCTCAAGCCCTATTAATTATGGCAAAAATGAATGGATGAAAAAAAAAAAAAAAGCTTGCTATGTGTTTACAGCAACCAGTACGCCTAGTAACAGCACTAGGTATAGGATGGCTCTAACAGGAGATTACTCATGAGTCACTGTGCAGTGGAAAGAAACTGGAAATGGAATAAGGAAGAGGTGCTGCAGCTCTGGGGGAGCATGAGCTCAGTGAGCCAACCCTCACACCCACCAGGCTGCGCAGGGTTCATTCATTGCACCCAGCTCTCCCCACAAGGGACAGCCAATGATCTGATTGAACTGAGATTCAATTTTGCTCTGCTGATGCTGGATACAAACCCACGTCAATGGAACTGCTTATGGTCTTCCACCTGGTGCTCAGCCATGCCCCTGCCCTGCTCCAGCTGTACTCCTGACTTCTCGCTGAGCTTCGACACAGGCCCTTAATACCATTTAAAGCCCAAAGTCGATATGGAATTAGTGAACAAACTCATCTCTGAAGTAAATTCAATTAATTCGGCACGGCCTTATTCCCTAGCAGCCTATGCTGCTGTAGCACAGTGAATAACTACTTTGTGCTTCACCCTCAAAGCAGCAGCTTGCTACTGCCTGCATCTCAGACTACACAGGCTGTGGGAAGGGAGCTGCAGTTCAGAGATGGATGATGTCACTGTGATGGTTCTTCATGCTGACAGGAGATGTTATCAGCTCC